ATACTTCACTTCTTTGGAGACGATGAAAAACAACAACTCTCATACGATGGTCGTAACTGCAACACCTAGGGGCAATCTTGCATCCGTGTTCTTTGGAGAATTTTCTCAAATTGGCTCCAACTTTGGCAAATCTGAAGATTCAATGGATTTTCCAACTTCAATGAATGTCAATGCTTTGATGGCTGACTCAACTGACATGGATGAGAAGTTCGCGATGATGGAGCAAACCATTGAGGCCTTGAAGAAATCCGTTGATGACAAAAATCTTCATATTGCTCAACTTATGAACAAGTTAGAGACATTCACACCCGGAGAGTAAAGTCATGTACCCACTTGTCCACCTAGTTTTGATGCATGAAACAAGGACGTTGAGGAATCTCTAGCAAAGTCAAAATTTCAAAAGGAGAAACAATCTGCTTCAGTTGCTACACTATCTGTCCAACAGTTGCAAGACATGATAACAAACAGTATCATGGTTCAATATGGCGGAACACCACAAAGTTCCTTGTATTACTCCAAGCCATATACCAGACGGATTGATTGTCTATCAATGCCAACAAACTATCAACCACCAAAGCTACAACAATTTGATGGCAAGGGGAACCCGAGTCAACATATCGCTCACTTTGTTGAAACTTGTAGCAATGCTGGAACGCATAGTGACCTTTTGGTAAAACAGTTTGTTCGTTCGCTGAAAGGGAATGCATTCGACTGGTATATCGACCTGGAACACGAGTCCATTGATAGTGGGAGCAGCTCGAGAAGGAATTCCTCAATCGTTTCTATAGTACCCGCCGAACTGTAAGCATGATAGAGTTGACCGGTACTAAGCAAAGAAAGGATGAGCCTGTGGTGGATTACATCAATCGTTGGAGATCATTGAGTCTGGACTGCAAAGATCGTCTTTCTGAAATATCTATTGTAGAAATGTGCATTCAGGGTATGCATTGGGGACTTCTATACATACTACAAGGAATCAAACCGCGAACTTTTGAGGAACTTGCTACACGAGCGCATGACATGGAGTTGAGCATCGCAAGTCATGGAAAAACGTCTCATTTTGCTGATCTGACAAAGGAAAAGAAGGAGTTCAAGAAAGGTATGACCTCAAAGATCCAGACTAAGGAATCTATGGCGGTGAAAGCAACTTCTGTAAAGGTCACCACCAAGAGTAAACTAAAAGAGGAGGAAGCCCTAAGTCAATATCCAAGGGAGAAGAGGCGACGCCCAACCTTGAAGGAGTTAGAGGCAAAGGTATACCCATTTCTAGATTCAGATGTACCTTTGATTCTTGATGAATTGCTAGCTAAGAAAGTTATTGATCTTCCTGAATCAAAGAGGCCTGAAGAAATCAATAAGGTTGGTGATCCTAGATACTGCAAGTTTCATCATGTCCTTGGCCACCCGACGAGTAAATACTTTATCTTGAAGGAGAAAATCATGATGTTAGTAAGTGAAGGAAAAATCATCATTGACCAGGATGAAACAGCGGAGGCAAATCATGCTAGTGTAGCACAAAATCAAAATAAGTGCTCAAGATCCACTTTCTTGCAATTTGGAAGTTTAATGCCAATTGAAGTTGATTTTCCAAGGAAAACTCTTGAGGGTTCACTAGAGATAG